TCTTTTCCAAATAAAACTGCCCCAGTGCTTGCCATATGATACAATTACAATGTTGTCGAATCCCGCTTCTTTACTGTGCTCGTTTGTAGCCTGCCAAAAGTGTTGCGCCGCCAAACGGAATAATTAAAAGCCGGCCGGTAATTTTACTATGACACAAAAAGACTACTGTCGCACTTTGCCTCCTATGTGAATCGAACACACGACCTTTGCTTTGACTCGCAATACGAGAGCAACGCTCTGCCAGCTGAGCTAAAGAGGCGAGACGTTTGTCGAGCACTGCGCACAATAATACCCATTTACTTTTTTTTTATACATTAATCACGGGAGTTAAAACCCGATTTCAGAGTGCTTTCAGTGTGCTTTCAGTGCCTCTGAAATCGCTTGCCAACTCCAGTGATTTTTCTAAAACCCCCAATTATCTTTTAAACCCCCTTCTATTTATATCGTCTTATATTTTCCCCAACTCCTTGAAATTCCATCTATATACCCCCAAAACCACTTACCTCTGAATTTAATGTATGGGTATAGGCAAATTTATTAAGGGCTTCTCTTAGTATTTCTATAAAGAGAAAGTATTCCTTAGTAACTCCTCCTAGTAGGTCATCATAGACCCCTACTACTGTTAAAAAATATGGGATCACTCAGTCTCGTCCTAAATATAACCAGCATACCTAATGGCAATATGCTAGCTATTACCATTATTACAAAGGTGCAACAGGCCTCCTACCAGCAATAAATCTAAGGAGCACTACTAGTAGCTAGATCATCATATAGGTCTTCTTCTACTGCAGCAACACAGCAAAAAATCATTAACAACAACAATGCAGGCGCAGCAGCTAGAGTGTTGTATCCAATATAATCAATAATACTTATTCTTTGATCTGCTATATTAAAGATTGCTGCTATTTCCCTTGTAACCTCACTTTTATTAAGACATTTCTTTATTTATAGATTTCTTAGTAGAATACTGATTAGCTATGCTCAGGAAGAAGTTGTCATTATTTGGATCACATAACTCACATTATCCCTGCTCTTTCCCTGATATGCATATCATCGACCACATCTTAAATTTGTTGTCGAGTTCTGTGGCTGGCCTCTATATTGGCAGGTAGTAATCAGCTTAGCCTACGTAGGCCACACTGATCCACTTCACAAAGTTGACAGTCTTTACCATCCTAATGGAGACTTTGCAGGGGAGCCACTACCCAAAGTAGCCCTTAGCTTACTATCATGGCCTAGGCAACAAGAGCAAAGTCGATAAAATTTCCATTAGAAACCAAGTTTATCTAATATTGCTTGATAAGTCAACAGATTTTTTGAATCCTTTGTTCCTCAAGTAAGTTGCCCCCCACCTTGTTCTCTACAAACCTCGGTTCTCAGTAGAATCTACTCATCCCTTTTTATCCACAACCCTCAGTTCCCAATAGAGCCTACTCCTATTCCTCCACAGTTCCTACAAATTAAAGAAGCACAATCCCTCAGTTCTCACAATACTTACTCCTCCTTGTCGTATATTGAAATTATAACCCAGTTACATATATAAACATCAAACATAGCAATCGTTAATCATCAGTTCTTCTTTCACCTTGTCATAATAAAGAACGTCTTTCTGTATTACTGTACTCATTTGTTCATATACGACACCACACTCCTTTCTGTCCACAAGCCTCAGTTCCCGACAGAACCTACTCCTCCACAGTTCCTACAAATAAAAGAAGAATAGTAGGAAGGTCTATCGATGACGCAAATACATGTACCTCATTGCACTCTCTCTGGGCTCCCAGCTTCGTTCGAGACACTAGTCCTAGATAAGAAGGAGGTAAATTAGATGAAAGAAAAGCTAGAGGTATATGCTAAAAGCAATAACGAATACTGATTCTGCACATACACCACCTTGGACTACGACGATGGTAGCCCATAAGTAAAAATAAAAGAAGGTTAAAAGAAGTGCACATGAAAGAAAAGCTGGGAGTGTACACCGAAAACAATAACGAATACTGATCCTACACGTACACCACCTTAGACCACGACGAGGGTAGCCTGTAAGTAAAAGAATGTGAAAAGCAATAACGAATACTGATTCTACTAGTACATGACCTGTCTCTAGTACATTTCAATGAACCAAAGGGAAAACGCACAGTCGAGCCTTCTTTTAAATTGCCACCAAAAACTGACAAAGTTTGAAAGTTTTACTGCTGCTGCTGCTCTCAAGTGCCAGTAGACTGCAGCAGTTTGAATGAGTGTCTTGATGATGCTATCGTTGTATGTCTGTCAAACTGTCATGCTAGTGTGTTTTGCTATGGTGCGTGTATGCTTGCTTCACTATGCGGCTCTGCTTGCTGTGGTCCGCTCTGGTCCAACTATTATCAGCGACTGGTCTGTGCGCTTTTTCAATGGAACAAGAATCGGCACTAAGAAAAGGTGTGTCTTTACCAGTGGTCAAACTGCGTGTTAAGCTGAAGCATTACAACAGCTTTATGCTTGTATAGACTGTACAGCTTAGGTGCGTAGACCGCTCCTGATTTTCTGTGACGCCTCAACAGATGCTGCATGAGGTCGTCAACTGAATGAATAAAAGATGCCTTTTCATCAATATTCGGTAGAATGGACGTTCTGGAAAGGTCAGAAATGATGAGCCTCCGAGTGGGAAGATGCTCAGTAGCATTTACAGCAGCCAATCCATTAGGTGGCCACATTGCCGGTGTTACTATTGGCTTAGGTGTAGGCGCGGCAGCTCTTGTGGGTGCACTCATGATGTGCCAAAAACGACGATCACGTCAAGTTAGTGTGTACCCGAGCACGCAAGTTTGAATACATAGCACACTAGAACACAAGAAATGGACTCTACAGCCTATTATTTGAGAAAAATTTTGTCTTCCTTCAACCCTGTGATCAGAATATTTACCTCAATCTGAATTATTTATGACGGAGGAAATGTGGTCATAATTTAGCTTTTTTCGCAGGATTAGCTGTTCAAACTTTATAAATACAAAGTTAGTTTTTGGGGCATTATCCAACAGTATGTGAATGGTGACTGGATGGTGCATGATGACGAAGTAATATACAATAGGCATAATCTCTGTACACTTTTCATTCGTATTTCCTCCGTTCAGTTCATGTGCTTAAATAAATAATGAGCGATACTGCTCTTGCTTGTTCACAACTAATAGCAGGAGAGAAGCGGGTACAAATTTTGTATGTTGAGCCACGCTTTCACATAACACGAATCCCATAAAATATTTAAAAGACATTTTGGGAATGTTGACGATCTTATACAATTTTATGTCGCTTTTATATATATCCAAATCTGGAGAAATGTAACGAAAAAGTGGAACAGTTCATAATAATACATACATACATACATACATATCCTGCAAGTAGCAGGGCAAAAGAAAAAAAGGCACAACTGTTACATTACGCCATCCGTATCCGTAATTTACATATTAAGCAGATTTACCGATAACACGGGATGTTTGATATATTTTGCACAAGAATCGTAACAACACGGTCTATCGTGGATTGTGGTAACGAGAGCCGCAGCTTAGACATTGTTTTTTTTCTTTGCATAATGGTGCATGTTGCCGCGAAAGTATCTTTCCACGTAAGCAACTTACCACATCACCAGAAAAAAAGCCATGCAGCTGCTACTGTCTTGCAGAGTTTATTTGCAGTAGTCTGAACGGTACAATTAAGGTTTCCCTTGCTATTTAGGCTACAAACGGTCCTTAAAAGCATGCTTTTCCATTCATTCAAGTTAAAAGAATATGTATGGCATATGTTTCTAAAGGTGATGCTAATTCAAAGCATAATCCTTTTCAGCTAGCGTCATTTAGTGAGCCGTACTATTTCCACTCAAGTTTAAACAGTGACTTCAAGGAGAGAGTAAGTCGACGATGATCGATATTTTATCAAGTTGGTATATCTTGTATGTATGTATGTGCTACTAGGTTTAGGAGAGCGCTGTATGGTAAAGATAAGTAGGCGATGGGAAGAAAGAAGAAGGGAAGATGACGGTTAAATAGTCATTTGCAGGGTACTGGCAGAAACCAGATACATGGATAAAAAAAGGCATACTGATGGAAGAGGAATTTTCCTTTTCAAAGCTCTGTTCTAAGATGTACCCATGTGCAAAGCCAACAATAAAAAATAATATTCTTTTGCATAACACCAGCAAATGATGCAGCACTACTGCTTCTCCCTCCTGTCGCCGATGTGGATAGAAATACGGTAGTTGGTCCTTTCATGGTGATTTGAATTGGTGGGCCTCCTTATTGCCTAACGTGTTCTTGAGCCGCAGTAATATCTGTCGTGATTGAATCATTCATCAAAGGGATGATCAAAATACCAGGAACAGCCAGCCGTAAAGGGATGCAACTATTGATGCGGCAGTTGTACCAGCTTTAATAGCGTCACTCGTGATGATGATGATGATGATGATGATGGAATGAGTGGTTTCATTACTTGATAGAGCATATAGAATAGTGAAGAGTATGCCGTAGGTAGTTGTTAAAAGAGCAGAAGATGAAACGCTTGTGCGACACAGTTTATGCGTGGTTGCTAAGCATCGTTTTGAACAGTATTGATAGAGGTAAATAGAAGAATAAACAAGAATATTCTGCTACTCTAACCATGATTTGCGTATCTGGACACTCAAACGAGAGTAGTAGAGTTTTGGAGCCACATCTATTGATCGTACTTTTACTCGCTCATAATAATCATAGAGATTACTATGTACTCTAATTGATTTCTGCCATCATGCGGATATAGGAGGTGAATGTTGCACGCACAATATCAAACAAGGGTATAGAGTGAGGAGGGTGAATACGTGAATGATTTTGCAAAGTAACTAGCGCGTGTGGAAAGGCAATTATTAGCTTTCTATGTGAATATCTGCGCACGAGGGACGAAGTGTGAATATATACATCGTTCCAATTCAACTCAGTACACGTATATGCCTTGTAACTACATGTATCAACAACTCACTACTGAAAATTAAAGATCGTTGATGTTGTTGATTTATTATTACGTGTTTTTGGAACGATTCTCTACTTTGCTATAACTTATTTTACAATGAGCCCAAGTAGTCCTTCAATTTCTCCAAAGCACGGAAACGATGCGAAATGGTATTTTTGGTTTCCTTTGACATTTCAGCATATCTGATATCGAAAAAGAAAAATTAGTTGAACAAAGATTAAATATTTGATTTTAAGAAAAGGATGAACGGAAGCATGATAACTTACGTTTGATCGAAACCGTCAGGCTGGAAAACACAATCCCAGCCAAATGTACGAGGACCACGCGGAGGCACGATTTTGCCCTACATTATGTCCAAGACCACCACACAATCCGTGATTTGAAATCAGCGAGAATTCACGATCAAAAGCCGCACACTTTTGCTTTTTTGAAAGCCAAATAAACTTACATCGGTAGTTCCTTCAAAAATGATGGGTTCATGGCCAGGTCCTTGGCAATAGGCAAATGTGCAGAGTGCATAAGCAGAATAATCGTTAAAACCATCCAGCATTTTTACAAGTCCTTCAGGGCCGGTGGCATCCAAAAACCATTTGCTAATATATGATACGTATATCAATCAGTAAATCTCCCTCCTCTTTTTCTTCCTATTGAAATATAGTAGTCAGTCCTTATGCAGAACTTACATGTAGGGACCAGGCATTCCCTTCATGGCCTTGAAGCATAAACAGGTATCTTCCGTGATACAAGGTCCATTCAACTAGTAGTTTAATCAATGTATGTTAACAAGAAACTTGAGTAAGAGACTGTGATTCACAGACTCGCAGCGATATATGGGTGATGGTTGTACCATTTCAGCAGCCAGTTGGCATTTCTTTGCTGCGATCTCTTGTGTAGTTCCTTGATATTCAGGCACTTTTTGTTGGATGAAAAAAACAGTTATATAGTTTCTTTAATATGCAAGGAGCAGTCGTATTTCCTTTAACTATCTTTCTCTTTCCTTACAGTCAACTTTATGCGATTCCACTTGAATTGTGCTGGACAAGATCTGCTGTACTTCAGCGAGCTTATTCTTATTGCCCGTAACAAAGACTATTGGAGTACGATTACTTTTTGTCAGCATGAAGGTTCTAGTCATTCAATATAGTCGTGTGGATACGCGTGTCATGTCTCTGGAAAGTACTTGCCGATCTTGCTTAACGATGACATTTTCGTAAAACGCGTTAAAAAAGAAAAAAGTTCGTTCAACTTTTTTTTTTGTTCCAGCTCTATCTTTTAAAAATTTCTTATCTAGTGTGTGTGTCTCTCTCTGTAAAAGATTAATCTTGTCTTTTTTTATTATTGTACCATGACAAGGCCAACGATCGAAGAGGTTATGAATCGTTCATCTGGGAAAAGAAAACCTGTTATTATACCAGCCGAATCAACAGATTCTGATTCTAACAGTGACGAAGGTACACACTGAATGTGGACAAGTGAGACGAGAGAGAGAGAACTGGTTACACACCAGTCCGGTGAACCAATGCATATCATTAGTTTGCGTGGAAACGCTCTACCCTAACAACACATGGCCATTCCTTTTCTTTATTTTCAACGGCGTATATAGAAACACAATCACTTAATGCAAGTAGTCTACCAGGGCCGTCGTTACCGTCAACGTCGTCCGTTGCAGACTTTTGGAGAGAATGCAATAGTCGCTTCAATGAACTAGAAGAATCAGCTCGAAAGGAAGCAAGGTACTTAAATAGGAATACGTTTGCTTCCATATGAGTAAACTAAAAATTGAATGTGCTATATACGTCTAGGATATACAAAAAGTCTCGAAAAACACTTGGAAAGGGGAAAAAACCAGACATGGTATTGCGAGAGACACTCAAACAGATCGAAAGCAACCTTAATTATCAACTACAGACAGTTGAGAGGAAAAGACTACGACGAAATCTGAAGACCGCAAAATCATTCGAGGCACAGAACAAAAAGCTCAACGAGGAATTCGAGGTAAATCATATAATTTCTTCCTCTGTAAGGTCTGCACGTTTATAGTAACAATTGCGCATTAGGAGGCAAAAACAAAGATTAAAACTGGATGGGATATGCTTTACCCGAAAGATTCAAAGAGTAAGTGATGTGACGCTACGGCATGATAATAACGATGAATAAGTACTCATTGTTTTTGACTAAATGTTCTTTGCAAAATTTCAGATCGCAAACGACGAAGGAAAAGATACCCCCAAAGCATTAAAGAACTTGTTGCACGTCTCGGAAGTTCAGCAGATTCACTCTATGACAGTGATGAAACCATGCTAGATCATATCCTTTTTTCTTCACTGTTCAATTCAACTTTTATTTCATACCATAGCCTTTTTTTTGGGTACTGTACATTGCCTTGACTTGACAGTTGCTTTTACGTCGAAACAGGTTATATCGAGTACTGACCAAACGCAACGAAGCAAAAATTAAAGAAACTCTTGCAAAATTCTATGAGGTACGAGAAACGTTACACGTTAACATGTAGGCGATGACAAAAAAAGTTGCACAGCTAACCATATTTCCATGCACCATAATGACACAAACTGTATAGTCTCCAGATAATAACAGTACTTCTGAATCAAATTGCTCTCCAGCAATACTATCTTCTGACGCCTAAACTCATGTTACGGACACAAGTCTAACATATTTATTAACAATTCTTTTCTTTGCTGTTTTTTTTTCTTTTCGATTTGTTACACTTTGTATATATATTATGTGGAATTGGAAAGTTTTAAGATTAATTACAGATTCTATAATGGGAGCGCGAGGTGGGGGATATACATTGCAACCTTTGATTTATTTTTCCATTGTTATTCTCAAGTTGTTCCTTGACTTGATCTAGTGAGTTTCTCAGTAGGCTCAGTTGCATTGAGCGCGATTGCTTCGTTTGATCACACAGAAGAAAATATTACCCCATTTATTGTCAATAAACAATGATAATCTTATAGGGCAAACGTATCTATGAAAAGCAAAAAATTGAAATACCTGATCATTATTGGCAGGCTCCTGTAATTCTCTGGAAAGTTCGTTGATTGTCCACTCAAGTGGATCCAGATAAGTACTTTTGACCCAGTCGATCACATCATCATCCCATACTCGAGACTACAATACCGTAAAATGATTATCAACAGCATACATAGATTAAGTTACTATCAAGAGCGATGCTCTCCCGTTTATTCCTTTTTCCTTACCCTGCTTGGAGGTTTGTCGCGAATGAGAAGATACAGATATAGATTGAGCACCTGCATTTCAAATCCGTATCTGTCCCATAGAGTAGATGTGTTGGGCTTTTTAAAAAGTCGAGGGAAGAGCTTGTCGGCAATGACATTGGAATTAAAAAGGTTTTGTTCACACTAGTTGAAATGAAAAATTTCCATTAGCAACAACAACAGCAACATATCATAGTAAAAAATGCATGCTTTCTAAGAACTTTCCTTGTTCTTAAAAGCATCCACAATCTGGTTTTTGAGCAAACCAACAGCAGCAGCCCGCATTGTCTCCAATGGGCAGCTGTCAAAAAGTTCCATAAAGACAAATAATTGCGCGTCGTTAGCACACATGTTGATGAAGCAGGATATCAGCTGATACGCAGCATAGCGCAAGTCAGCATTGGGACACATGGCTGCAACAGACGACATCACCTATGATATATATATGTGTGTGTATAAATGAAGATGTACAAAGAAAGAATAAATGTTGAGAATATCATGTCATGTACTTCTGCTCCCATCAAATTTCAAAAAACAACTCCCGTGATGATTGGCGTTGATCTGAGAAAAATAGAATCTCACCTGGAGCCCTTGGATCAAATCAAAGTTTTGGTGCCCAACTAATGGACCAGGTAACTGAGACTCAGTGAGAGTTTGGACATCAATGGTAATGTCCACGTGCTTTGCCAAGAATATCAGCAAGAACAGGCCTTTATCCACATGAGCAAATCGCTGTGCACTATTGAAGAAAGAAAAAAGTTAGAGGATGAGAAACGTTAGCGGATGCTTTTCCTTATGATGCCATTGTTTAAATAGCTTTCCATCTTGAAAGGTTACATACTTTCCAACCAACCGCAAGATTAAGCCTAAACATTCTTTTCCAATCCACTTGTAGTCAAGTACCATTGGTAGTAGGTTCATGCTAGGTACGTCGAACGTTTGTCCAAAGATATACGCATCGTATACTGAGATAGCAAGAAGCGAAGTAATGCTGTCGTAGGATATCGGGAAAATGTTGGAATTGATCATTTCGCGTTCGTCTTTGGTCTGTCTTTCATCATTATCGCCTCTTTTCGCGTCGATCAATGATCGTTTCAGTCGTAGCATACCGTCGAACGTCAATCCCAGCGACTTGGCAATTCTCTATACATATATGTAAGGCGTTTAACGGATTATATTCTTTTTACAAGAAAAGGCTTGATAGAATAAATATTAAAGAAAGTCTGGACCAAACTTACTGTGCATCGAAAGACGAGATCCAACATTTCATTTTTCCCGGTTGATGAATACATTTCGATCGTTTTGGATTTGCTCTCAAAGGGTCGCTTCACATTGTACTCCCATCGATATCGGTGTGTGTAGATTGTTGTCAGATCCATGTCGAGATTGAGCACGATTTTGTCGAAGATCAGTAACAGCAAGTAGACAGCCAGGTACCATCGTTTGACTTCGTCGCTATCCTGTCCAATATCTTTTAATTCAGGTCGCTATTATATATAATAACCGGTTTCGATGAGTAAACCCACATAATGCAATATTCACTCTGTTTCTTCGCATGATAATCCCATCTATTACCTGCTCCTTTTTTTCATTGAAGAATAACTCGTACGTGACCATGGTGGTGTTTTTGCCATATTCGATAAAATCAAGAATAGCATTGGTCAGTACGAAGACGACTTGATCCCATCGGCTGGCTGGTCGTTCACGATCGCCCCATGACGAGTGGTCACGAACAACATTTTCCAAAAATCCCACTGTTTTTGCACAAAACTGTGCTGGGTATACGATATGGTTCAAGATCTTTTTTGGCTGTGTGATATGTTCAGCGGCTAGATGTATAAAAAAAAGCCAGTAATTGTTGAGTTTTATACGCGACACGCAATCAACCTTTTCATTGTTGTCCTTTGGAATACCTTCGCCAAAAATTTCAAAGTACTCGACTATTTTGATAGCTGAGCGTACACACTTCTCCTCATCTGATGCGACAGCGTCCCAATCCATTAGACTCATTTTCTCTAGTGCGAGCATAAGCACTTCCTTGCCACTGGCTGAATGTGCAATGCGTCGAAACGTTTTGGTTGCATAGCGTCGTACTTTTGCGTTCATTGCCTCGTCTCCAGTAGCACTTGACATGAATGGTTCGAGCAGTTCCAATAGATCCCATCCAAATTCTTTAAGAAACGAAGGCTATATTTAACTTTGCATTAATATGGGGCTATTAATACCCTCTCCTTCTTTCATGTGAACAACGATACACTCCACGTAATATACAAGCATCAAAAAGACCGAGAGTACTCACGTGTTTGGCACTATAAAACATGCATGCATCGTTCGTTTGTGTCTCTTCATTCAATACAACTGTCGTGAGCAACTGTAGAATCGAGTATTGCGCAGTAGGATTGTAATCTTTGGCAGCTGTCAAGGCACGTTTCAGTAACTTTATTATTGTATCTTGGAGATTTTTTGAAACAGGTCGATCGTTAACCAAGCTGAAATCGTTATCCTACACATTGTGAGTTATAAGGGGTTGTAGTCATTTCTACGCGTAATCGTGTGCTTGTGCATAATTGCCGCAATACCAGTGCAGACACGCCAGCGCGTACACGCGTTTATATACCTCTTTGCACCTCCCCTGCACTTCCATTATAGCAGTAATGTGCTGTTCCAGCTCCTCTTTGGAAAGTTGAGGTGCTTTGTTGACGGCATGTGGGATTAATGACTCGGTCGTTGTAATGAACACGCCCATGGTCGTAAAAACAACAACAACGAAATAGGACGCTGAAAGAGGAAAAATAAAGATCCAAGCAAAGCGTAACCGCTTTAATTTTTCTTATTTGGGTTACAGTGGATTCAAATTGACCAACTGTTCGTATAGCAGGATTGCCTCTGTGTGTCTCCTATATTTTTCACTCCAGTTTTGAGGCCATAGCGAAGCATTTCTATGGATATCTTTTTTAACGCTTGTTCAACTTATGTTACGCTGAGCTACATGTATTATTTGTCGATAGCGTTGCTGATTTAAAATGATTTAAAAAAGCTTGTATATATGAACCCACACTATGACTTTTTCCACGGTCAGGCATGATAAGAACTTTTGTTCATATTCTATATAATAGTTAGTCAATAGTATATATTGTCCGGTAACAAAGTTTATTGTTGGCCAGAGAGTAAATCGCGTAGTAAGAATCCATGCCAAGTCTTTATCATATTTGGGTTATCTGCTACTTATCGTAGATTACTCCCTACAGACAGGATAATATGCATTCTGATGTGAGTCTTGCTGGATCAGCTGTAAATTAGAAGAAAGCTTTAAGATGACATCATATTGAGGGTTTTCCATAAATCAAACGATTGTATGCTGAATGACAAAGCGACATAACGGTTCGCCAAGCACACAGTTCCAGCCAAAGCCCTTTGTGCCTAGCGATGATAGCGAAGAGCATTTCAATATTAGCAACAAGGAGGGTATATCGACTTGTCATGAATCACTTCAAATCAAACAACACTCGATGCTTCCCCTTTTCCAATGTATCCGGCAGAAATGATAGCCGTGTGGAAATCATAGAACGTACGCTACTCTTGTTTTCTACCATATAAACTATAAGTATGATAGCAGGAATATTATGCGCATTTTCTTTATAGTGGCAGACAGCGTGATGCCATACCAGAGGGGAGGGTTGCACAAGGACAACAAACCATTTTGATGGCTGCGTGCGCGGTTCGCATTAGCCATCGTTTGAATTAGTTGGTTATCCATCAAAGTGTGATAGAGACAAGAAAACCCGAAATGGGTGTGTGACAGACCTGGATCAAACCGGTAAGAAGTACTCTGTTGAATTGGTACGAAATTCTTTCAATTTCTAACAACGTGGTCTTACGTATGTATATCAGCTGTCATCACTTACTGAAAATGCACATGTAATGCATAGTGCAAACAAATCAGTTAAACAGCGTTGGACTTATGGACCAAGGTATTTTCTTCTTGATGATCTGTACTGTGAAGATCAAAGGGAACGAGACGCCTATCTGAATCTTATCATATAAACTCACAAAAGTGGCAACAGCATGTACGAAGCTGTTTTCACTCGGGACGAAAGGTGTCCCCTGGATAATTTAATGTAGCCTGCATAATACTACTACGTGATGTATTAGTTATGGATGACTGGGCAGACATCGTTGCCCCAGCAAATACCATAGTGGCAGCCAGGAACAGGGCAAGTGCACTAAATCACGATCAACCAGATATAGAAGTTGAAAGCACAAACAGGCTGTGTGTATGATGATGTATGATAATGAGCGTATATACTATCTCGTGTGGATCTGTACTACCAATACGGATGGGGTGGGCAAAGCCTAGGGCAGGGCCAGGGGGGAGAGGGGGGTATACACTGTGCGTAGAAAAAGTACAAGGGCCGGACACGTGCAGAAAAATGACGATGGGGACACACCCAATTTTCTGCATTTCCGGACGATTTTGCATATCAGGCATGATCGCTCTTTTGTCAACAAGTTTCTCAAGCGGAGATATCATGATATGCCGGACACACACCTTTGGACCGCATTTGCCGGTTTGTTCTCTGCTCTTCCTCTTCCTTCGGATCTGCTCCCCCCATCCAAACCCACCAACCCGCAAACCAAGTTTTGCTCCGCCTAAAAATTCCTCCAGTTAATGCTAATTGTTATGTGCACTGTGCGTTGGGATGGGACTATTGTTGAAGTGCGGGGGAAGAAATAAGTGAGGACGAGTAATGAGAGTTGCTACACGTCGTTTTTCTTTGGCTTTGGTGATTGATGCCAAATGATGTGAACTGTGTTGATGGTGTGTAAAGAGCGCAATACCATTGGGCCATAATCAATGACTTATCGGGTAGAAACGAAAAAAGAAAAAATACGTCATGAAACTTTGTTTTTTGGCGGGGACCTTCAGGGGAGGCTCTGGTGCACTCGGTTTTGGGTTTGTGTCGGACTTTTTTTCTTTTTCGAGGATATTATATAGAGACACCCACCCACAGCCGCGTTGCTTTTCTTTTATTTTCTTTCAGGTACATCACCACTCCATCTACACAAACACCAAACACCATGGCCAAGATTCAAGTTTTCACTGACTTTGACGGTACTCTCTCTTTGGACGGTAAGTTGAGAAGCTGGTCTATTGTCCTTTTGTTCCGTTGTCTTTGGGTGGGGTCCACAACTCGTGTAACTCATATAAAAGACGTGTTTTTTTGTTCTGCGCATAGACACCGGTCTTATGTTGATCGATGATCACCGTTCCCTTGGTCCCGAGCGTCGTCGTGTCATTGAACACGCCATCTTGAACGATGAAATGACCTACAGGTAAAGTATCTTGCGAAATGATATAAAGCTCTTTTGAAGGACAAAGCGGATAAAAAATTGCTCATTGTTCCGCAACAATTTTTCTACTTTGATTATAGGGACGGTCTTACTGAAATGTGGGCCGCTGTACACATCAGCTGGGAAGAAGCCTGGGCTGAGTACTTGGACGGTAAGTTTGAACAATTGCTCCTATTGTTACTGCCATCCATCTTGAAGGAATGAACTAGAGAGAGAGGGAAGACTCATCCACGAACAATTACTTTAAATCTAGACTGCAAAATTGATCCCGGTTTCCCCGACTTCAACGAGTTTTGTCGTGAGCGCAACTTCCCAGTGACCATCATCAGCAGGTAAGATGATATAACAAGAGAGAGAGAGAGAGAGAGAGTCGGATGGAAAGAGGATTTAGAGAGAGGATATTGGTTCAAGGAGGACAAGCTTGACTAAACAGAACCGTTGGGGTCTCTATTATAGTGGTCTCTACCCCTTGTTGTCAAAGATCATGACCAACTTCCTTGGTGAAAAGGCAAAGGACATCAAGATCATCTCCAACGATGGCGAGTGCGTTGACCGTAACTGGAAGATCGTCTACCGTGATGACTCGTAAGTCTTGGCTTATTATTGGACAAGGCCTTGATTTTATAGAGTTTCTCTCGGCTAACAAACAGACACCTCACTTTCATAGTGTGTACGGTAACGACAAGTCGCGCAGTAAGTATACAATGGGAAGGAACTGGAGATGGGTTACCATAGGAGCGTAGTATATGTAGGGATGATGCGGAATCTTTCTCTGACTGGAACGTTTTTGTGCTATTACGTAGCTCTTCAAGCTGCTCGTGAGGCCGCTTCGCCCGACACCATCTTTGTCTTCTGCGGCGACGGCGTCTCGGACATTTCGGCTGCCAAACACGCCGATGTTCTTTTCGCCCGCAAGGACCGTGACTTGGAAACCTACTGCAACATGCACAAGATCCCCTTCATTGCTTTCGATACCTTTGCTGAGGTCCACGCTGTCGTCAAGAAGTTGGCTGATGGCAAGGCAAAGATCGAAAAGGACGAGAAGACCGGCTTCTGCAACGTCATTGACCTGTAAATAGATTTAACCCACTTGAAAAACTTCCTCTTTCTTAACTGCCATCCCCCGAAAAAAAAACCCTGTTCTTTTTTGCCATACTACTACACACAAATACGCAACAGCCTCTCCCTTTCTCTCACTCCTTTTCATACCAATAGAGAAAACATATAAGTTGATTTACAAGTTCCAAGAACCTAGCCTTCTCAGATGCTCCTGTTATTTTCGGTTTTACACATTCAAAGCTCGCTCGTTTTCGCATAGATAAAGTTTGGGCGCTCTTTATATATCGATGTGAGAGTTTCGCTTCAGCAACATGTATCATCCATAAAATACACTACTGTCTTCCCATACAGCCAAGCCAACTTGATATAAAGTTAAAAGCGTGTTTACGATCCGATTAAGGAACATGGCATGTCATTGCCTATTCAACACGATGCTGACGAGCAACGTAACCGATATTATATATATTTTAAGAGCAAAGAGGCAACATTGAAGCAAACAGAAAAGAAAGAGGTATTATATATAGGGTAGAGGGAAAGAAAATCAATGTTGTCTTCTTTTTCTTCTTTGCTGATATATGGAGTATCGACGAGAGCACTGTCTGGAGTCAGTTTGCGATAGTATACAGAGTGAGTGAATGGTACTTTTCCATCGATTTTTATGAGCCTTTAAGCGACACGTCTCATGTTGTCGAATTCGTAGATGTTACCATCAGTCGCTCTGCAAGATGACTTGTAGTGACCGCCAATAGAATGTGTGCTATAAAGTCTACCACTTGGCTGATATTGTACTTTGCCGATCTCTATCTGGCCAGGATAGTAAACCATGCTGCTTTTGTTGCTCACATATTATTTCTTGTATGAGCCTATAGGCCAAAATTTATTAATTCAAGTCACACGCACAAAGTAGTGGTGTGTTGGAGATGATATGAAGAGGTGGAAAGTACAAAATTAAAGGACAGAGAGGGGCGAATATGAGTCTATTAATCTAGGCAGTGATCGTGGGGGTGGCGAAGCTGAGCAAGGGCAGTACTAGCGCCAGTGAGATCAACGTAGAGCGGAACGCCATAGTTAGGAAAATACCCCGCCAGTCATAAGGAAAAATCCTGTAACCTATGTTCTTGCAGATCACTCTCTTCGTTGCGCAAATAGTTGAAAAGTTGTGGTAACGTAGAGAAAAATTGGTTCGGATTGCTGGACAAAACGAGAAATGTTGCGATGGAAGGACTCTACGCCATTTGTCGTTCTTGTAGCATCACGTAGAGGTTCTTCATGCATCACCGTCTTGGATCGGAAAATCATGCTCGCAACGCCGGGTCGTAGCCACCAAATCATCCATTTCGTAGTGCGCGGGATTTCCTGTTCCATATCACCAGTAACCATGTCGAATCGAATATTCGTTCCGCAGTGGTTTCGTACATGGCATTTTTGGATAAGTGCGGGGGCTAGCAGCTATAAGCCAATAGGCAAAGTCATGTTGTACTTCAATTGCAATAAGGTAGCTTTTGTTATAACCAGCTTGGCGGATGAATTGGGGCTTACGCCGATAGGCTGCCCAGCAGAGACGGTATAGCAGGTCCTCATACGTACCACTGCAGTTCGACCAGTTACCATCATGAAAGATGGTCTGGTTCCACTAGTTAGGACACGTCGCAGGCAATGTGTTGCATATCTCCTCGCATTTAACACACTTCTGCTTTCCAAGGGGCGACTTGGTGCTAGCAGATTTGACCTGAATGTTCTTTTGCTCGCAACCTGACTCAACCGTCAACTTTCTTCTGATTCTGTTGGCAAAGTTGCCAGCAAATGTCGGTGGGACGTTCATACGTTCCGTCTGCTCTGGGAAGTAGGGCAATCGCGTGCTTTTTGTCGCCGTCGATCCATCTTGTAAATTCGGTCTTCATGCTGGTGGACACGTTAAAAGTTTAATTGGGGTGAGGTTGGTACTTGAGCAGGTTGCTCGAATTGAGTGCGTAGAGTAGCTCAGGAACACAAAAAAAAGAAAAGACTGGTTTCCCTACCGGAACGACTGCTTTTACTGCAACCGCCAAAAATGGAAAGTAAAAATGCGTGCACCCCTCATTGAAGCTTCGGAGATGTGGATTTTGTCACGCTTCATGGTAGCATCTTTTAATCTCGTATATTGTCGTTCTGTGGGTGGATCAGTAGGTATATAAATCGCAAAAGGACAACATACCAGGGGAAGCCCCAGTACGTTAGAAGCTGCTTCTTGTGCCGATACTCCAATCGAGTACTACGTTAAATTCGACAGGAACGCCACAAACAAAAATCAACGTGACTGAGAGTATGAACAATAGTAAGTGATGGCGCTTGACCATTGAGCCTGTCATTAAGATCACGGAAACCCACGCAGCATATATGTCGACGAAGGTATCAAGTTAAAAAAAGTTGCCACAAAGTCTTGTACACAATGCATTTCGGCATAAACTATTATTGTATCGGAGATCGTAGCAGTCAGGATGCGATGAGAGCAGCGCGCATATTTAGGCAAGGGATCAGTCAGTGCGGAAATCCAGTAATGCGACAGAAAGTGACAAGCGACGCAGGTAAGGCAATTCGCTAAGAAATAAGGGCACAGAAGTTGATGACCGTGCAGTACACGTGATCCAAAGCAAAGTGTATGCCAAGGACAAAGTGGTGAAGCTGAGTAACGGTAGAAGGAGGATGATATTGAGTGTCTTTGGTTGGTTTATAGCCTTTCTATTTGCTAATAGTCTCTTACAAACAGACCTGGATCAGTCAATGGCTGCCTCATTCTGGACGTCAGCACTGCTCATGACAAAATCAATATCATTTTGCCAACGATCCAATGGCAACTATCTTGCTCAATGCAAATGTCTCCATTGTGCAGTCAGGCACAAGATTGACGAGTCTCGCTTGCATATGAAGAAGTCATACAACGGTATAAAATACGCACAAACAAGTTCAACGAACGAGAGGAAGAAATTACTTGAACTACTAATTACTAATAGGGTGTCGATGTTTTAGCTTCCCTGCTCTTAGGCAGGTACTGACAGAAGCAACCACGGGACATCTGCCCCGTAACTCTTTACCACAAAGCTAGGGGATTGTCTTGGTCGCTTTGTGAATCCTTGAAGGTTGATTGGTATCGAGATGCCCAGTCCCATCTCAACAATCCCGTTCTACAGAACAAGGATAAGTACTTACCGACCATCTGAAAAAGTTGTTAGCATCCGCACACACACACACACACACACACACACATACACGCACAGAATAAAGAAAGGACCCACCATACACGATCTGCAAAGAAATGTTAGCATCCACCCACAAAACACACACACACACACACACACACACACACAGACACACACCGTTTACAAAACGTTCGTTAGCTCCTCATACCCGCACACACAGAGAAAAAGGAGAGGACTCACAAAAAAAAAGGAAAAAGTGAAGAAGCAAGGAAGCAACACCTTTTTTTTAAGGGAAATACCCCCACCCACCATCCACAGGTCCGTGCTAACAATGCGGGAAACAATGGCGACAGTAACACGATCATAACGCGCTTTATCACACTCTGGTACGCGTTTTTTTTACATGTATCATACACCACCCGTACATACGCCGAGGAAGTAACACCACGTCTGATTGGCTTTGTGTCGGTACTGCTGAGGGAGGTGGTTGATAAAATGAGCAAACCAAACAACAGTATCAACCTGAAGAAGCAGCCTGTATCGATAATAGTAGCTCTAGAATAACGCGCATACTATGCGCAAAAACAGCCATGCTGCTCTATAATTTGCTTTTGACAATTTATTTTAAGCTGCCCACATCCATCATTGCGGGCTTAGAGGATCGGCAATCAGCGATTGCCGTGGGCATATACTCGAATAAGAGAGTGTTTTTATTTTCGTTACACACGCCACCAAACTACATCACCAGTGTTGGCAATAATCACGTTGACCATTTTTCGCGGACAGTGAGAATGTACATATTCACGCGTGAATAATACATGCCAAATCAATTTCACGCGTGAATAAACCTTCCTATACTTATAAATGGACTCTGGAGCCTTTGCTTTCTCTCTCTCTTGCTCTCCCTTAAGCATTTCCAATTGATGAAGGTTTATTCACGCTGGAATATTCACGTACATTTTTCACTTTTTCACGGCGTGATTATTAGCTCTCCGAATATTCACGGTGAATAATCCAACACTGTACATCACAGTTGATACAACAAAGGCCGAGACTTTCTACAATGTCTCACTGATCCCATGAAGGCACTGGCTACGGCATTCGGCACATATTTACCCTAAGAAAAAGACTGCTGTGTATCCTACCAGCAACTTATGCAAGTATCGTTATCATCCATAGCTATTGTTCATCAGTCAATATCGCCAAAACAAACATCTTATTCAGTATAAACAACATTGACCCGAGCCCTGTACTGAAACACTTTGATCATTTGCTTAAGCTTTGCGCTAGACTAATTTAATACTAGCCCTGATGAGGTAGTAATCAACTAGCATAACACCATCCGCTATCATCCCTCATCCCCTCCTCTCACCTGCCACTGCCAGATACTTGTATTTTTCCCACTCTTTTTCCTTCTATCGTAACAATGGATAAAGAAAGCAATGACGAACAGCCAAACATGTTGATCACAGCACTAGAAGAACGTCCAGGGACCGACTTACCCAGCAAGTGGGATGTGCAGTACCAAATTGGCTATAAATTTATAATAGTTTTTGATAAATCTAATTAATTGCTTGCTGCCATATTAAATTATATCATCCATTTTGATATTTTATCAATTTTATAACATCATGTGACCAAAATCATGCATTCAATGATTATAAAAATTGAAAATCCATAATATAAATAAAGAACGACCCAAAGGATACAACAAACTATACACCACTGATTACAAATGAAGTAAACTCAATTATTGCAAATTATTGGCAATTCCTAGAATGGAACTGGCCTACTGTACATAATAAATATAAACATAGAACTGATTTGAGACATATTAAATTTATAGATAAAATTAAGGATGAACTGTTACATAAATTAGGTTATGTTGCTGTATTTTATTTTCTAGTAGTTTTATATACAAACAAGGAATATCCCGGACCTTACTTTGAAATTGAAAAAGGATTGTTTTTATTATATCATTTAGTCTCTGGAGTATGTGGTGAAAAATTTGAAAAATACTTACCACATAGCACATTTCATACATTTTATAAAAAGTTTTGGATGGATGAGGACAACTACAAATGAATCAACAAAATAGTAAATGATTCAATGAATAACATGTTTTCATCTATCAAATTACGTATTCTATCTACTAGAAAGCATAATCCCGACTTATTTAAACATGTAACACTTGTATTGGATGGCCATGATTCAAGAATTAACTATGTAGATACTGAAATTGACCACTTTCAAAGAATGTATTCTTATAAATTTAAGAAGAATGGAATACATACCCAATTTGTTGATATGATTATTTATACTTCTAAAAGTGCCTTTTGTTCTGATAGCTCAGATGGTAGCATGTTTTTAAACATGAAATTATTTAAATATATGCATGAGAATGACATAATGGCAGTTGATGGTGGATATATTTTATTTATCACGCAATTTACAGAGCTTGCTAATGAAAAAGGATATAACTTTAGCCATGATAATTTTGTATACCCTATATGTAAAAATGTAAATGAGCCCTTAACGATTACTGAAGATCATTTTAATAAGACATTTGGAAGTTTTAGGACAAAAGTTGAGAATTAATTTTCAGAAATTGGGAATAAATTCTGCCGATTCAATAATAACAAGTCAGTTGTTAAAATGGATAACATAAAATACTATAATCTGCAATTTCATGTAGCTTGTTTATTAAAAAATATTACAAAATTTGTAGAAATGTTCAATATTCCTATTTAACCACACCATAAACTATGAGTAACAAATCATAGTATTTGTTCTCTCTTATAATAACAAAACATAAATGTTTTTGTTATTTGTCTAAATCTCATTATCCAGCCCCACACGTTTCGAAAGCAAGTTTCTCAACCACCCCTATTTTATATTTATGAAATTCTTATGTTCATAAGGATTAAGACAATACTTAATGATTACAAACTCTACTAGGGATTACAAAATTAAATGACTATATTATAAATATACTTATTAATTTTTAAACCCTTTACATTAAAAAATATTATAATTTTTTAAAAACCTATAAATCCCGTATTATCCCTTAACTATAAGTTATATCTCTATGGCACACTAATGATTTTGATTTTCCAGTAGAGCATAAACTAATTGATATAGTGGTCAGCAATGATAAACAAAATAAAGATAAACTGGATAAAATGATCAGATTACAAAATGACCTGCTTAATATGGCTATATCAAATGAAGAAATGATTGTTGATAATGAATCTGATAATAATTCAAATCAGAGTAATAGTGATAATGATGATGTTCCAAAATTTAATGAGCGTAGTAAAAAAAGAAAGCGAAATAAAGGGAAACAACGAGCAATGGCATCATATGAAATAGAAGAGATTATTAGGCATAAAGCTGAAAATGGTACATATTTGTTTGAAGTAAAATGGGTTGGATATAGTGCTGATGATAACAGTTGGTTATCAATTGATAAATTTAATCAAAAGGATTTATTGAAGGAATATATCAATAAGCATAATCTTGGTATATTATAAAATTGCATACTCTGGGTAATATATCATTGATATCATATTATTTATAAATATTGATTGTATTTAAGGAATGATTGAATTGAAACATAAGTAAAATGGGTTTCCTATAATAATTTTAATAGGTTTAGTTTTTTTCTTTTTCTTGTTTTCTTTTTTTTTCAATTTTCTCATCTTCAGTGTTATTAGATTTATAAACAACAAGTTTTTTATTTTTAGGAATATGAAGCTTACTATGCTGACAGAAAAGGTAATCATTTTTACCATCAGGTAAATTTGTTCTGATTTTTTTACCATAAAACTGACCATCACGTTTTCCTTTTTTAAATTTATGGGAACAAAAATCATTAATCATGCTCAAGTATAAAAAGTAGTCAGTTGAAAACAATGACTTTATTTTATTTTGTAATTTCATTTTTAATTTTTCTACAATATTTTTATCAATGTAAGAATCCAATTCATTTTCCATAAATACATATAATTCTTTATTAAGATTACTACGTAATTAGATATGGTTGATTGGGTGGAATTCATTTAAAGCAACCATTTTGATTGAATCTTTGTAACAATTTGAGTTTGAAATTTATTTCTTGGCATAAATTAAATATAGGATCATATATAATATTTCTAATTTTTAACTTGTAAATTTTAATATGCTTCTTTACAATATAATGCTCACCATCATAAATTTTATCACTTTTATGTACTAAATACTTTTTTTGATGAACATATTCTAATAATAAATATTTTGCTATAAATTCAGTAGTACTTACAATATTTTCTTCAACTGGTATATAATATAATGTGGATAAATCTTCAATACCTGGCATTCCTTTCTTACTAATTATTTTTATATATACACAAAATTCAATTTTTTGTACAATTTGGATTTTTACAGCCAATAGATTTCTTACAGACAATAGTATTATCTAATATCTAATTGGAGTTGGATGTCCCCCCAAGCTGCTATTCAGGGATCCGTATATTAAAAACATAATCATTGACACAGTTGTTGGCAAAGGTATCTATGGAGATGCTTACCACATTGGAGCTGGTGACCGGCATGATGGTCGAAAAACCGATGTTGTATACCTTCCCCATGCCAAACCGACTGGTGATCTTCCACCGGTGATAATGGAAATACAGCAAAAAGGAGAATAATCAATATCTATAATTTTTGTTATAAATAACAAAATTATGATATTTATTTATTCTGTCAAGCTAGCCTTCGATCCAGTAGGTCTTGGCTAGAGGGGGGGCTTGCTCATTACCATTCCGCCACTTTAAGAAATTTTTATGTTTATAAAAGTTACAAAAATATTTAAAGTTTACAACTTTCATTAAAAATTACAAATTAAAAAAATATATCTTTATTTAAATAAATCTTTTTTAAAGTTATTACATTAAGGAATATTACAATTTATAAATAAGTTATAACTTTTTTATTTTCTTTTAACTATGAGTTAGATTTCAAAGTGACCCAGAAGTTCGTCTTGCGTTCCATACGATACTGCATCGATATCCCTGAAGAGACCAATGTCCAACCAATTCTCGTGATATTCAATGTCGACGGTATCACTGGTAAAAAATTCTTTGAAAAAACATTCTCAAGGCAGAACGAACCATTTTATACCCAGCACTGTCATCCTTGGGCACGATTTGTCTATCTGTATAATGCCGATTCAATTGCCTGCCACATTACCAGCACACCATTGCAACCAATCGTTGCATTGACATACTTTTTTATGCAGCGACAACAGTACTTACTTGCTCTGGACGTATTCGACAATCCCACTATGTTTACCATCTATCAATAGGTGCATGTGATTTTTTCGAAACACAATGCGGTAGTAACAGATCAACAGGCAACATGGAAGCATTTTTGCGAGGCGATTGCATTGCAGTTCGACAAAATCACTAAGGCAACAAAAAACAATTCCCCGAATTCGAAGAAACGCGCGATCAAATATGCCAAAGATGGTGTTTTCTTTTCTAATAAGATGCTTCAGCTTTGCAACGATGAAGTAGATGATCCTGGCAGTTCCGACGTTACCCCCATTGAATTGGGAACAGATGCAAAGAGTGACGATCTGTTATTTATTGAACGATTCCGGAGCAGTAATTCTGGCTGATTCAGCTGGGAGCAATGTTACAAGAACGGAAAAGAGGAAATGCAAACACTTTTTACCCGCTACAAAAGCCATATCACCCTAAGACAAGCATTTTACGAACAGACTTTATAACTTGTAATACCATCCCTCCTATTCAAATGACAATAATACATGACCTTGACCTGCCAAACTGTAGATTAACAAGTCTAAGACCAACTAGATTAACAAGTCTAAGACCAACTAGATTAGACCAACTAGACCAACTAGACCAACTAGACCAACTAGACCAGCTAGACCAATTTGTCCATTAGACCAACTAGACGAACTAGATGAACTTGATGAACTTGACAAACTAGATTCACTAGACCGACTAGACCAACTAGCCTACGAGCTTGACTGACTAGACTAACTAGACCAACTAGACCAACAAAAGAACAATTATAATTTAAATAATGTTTCACATTATTCTAATTATAATGTTATTTCTATTTAAAAATAAATTTAGAAATTGATATTATATTGAATTGTTCGAAGACAACAAAATAAATTTTGTTTATCGCAATTCAAGAACCTTTCTCTAAGAGAAAGAACCACAAAGAGTCGCGTTGCAAGTTTTTAACAACTTACAACTTCTGTTTTTATTATTAATTTTATTATTTTATGAAAAGAGAAAGTAGAAACATTTCTCAACTAGACCAACTAGACCAACTAGACCAACTAGACCAACTAGACCAGCTAGACCAATTTGTCCACTAGACCAACTAGACGAACTAGATGAACTTGATGAACTTGATGAACATGACGAACTAGACCAACTAGCCTACGAGCTTGACCGACTAGACTAACTAGACCAGCTAGACCAACTAGACCAACTAGACAAACTGGATCAACTAGGCCAGTAGACCATTTTGTCCATTGTGCCAACTAGGCGAACTACATGAACTTGATGAACTTGACGAACTAGATTAACTAGACCAACTAGACCAACTAGCCTACGAGCTTGACCGACTAGACTAACTAGACCAACTAGACCAACTAGACCAACTAGACCAACTAGACCAACTAGACCAACTAGACCAATTTGTCCATTAGACCAACTAGACGAACTAGATGAACTTGATGAACTTGATGAACATGGCGAACTAGACGAACTAGACCAACTAGACCAACTAGACCAACTAGACCAGCTAGACCAATTTGTCCATTAGACCAACTAGACCAACTAGACGAACTAGATGAACTTGATGAACTTGATGAACTTGACGAACTAGATTCATTAGACCGACTAGACCAACTAGACCAACTAGACCAACTAGACCAACTAGATTGTAACAGTGTCGGCCCAGATACTTACAATCGGGAACGTGAATGGGTAGACAGTGTGGATCAATGAATAAGGTGAGACTCGGATATATCAAAGGATAAAAATATGAGGATCCATATAACTCAGGATCCCGTCTTTATATATACGTCGAGTAATAGGGGGCTAGCTATTGTCTAAGTATTAATCTACATCGCAACTTCCATCTAGAATATCCACGCCTAGTACTCCATATTCAACCATGCGGCTGACCACAAGTCATCCTATCGTCTGAACCATGCGTTGTCGATCGTCAACCATGCAGGTTGGATATCGTCCTAACGGTATGCATCGTTACATAGACCAACTAGACCAACTAGACCAACTAGACCAACTAGACCAACTAGACCAACTAGACCAACTAGACCAGCTAGACCAATTTGTCCATTAGACCAACTAGACGAACTAGATGAACTTGATGAACTTAACGAGCTTGACGAACTAGACCAACTAGACCAACTAGACCAACTAGACCAACTAGACCAACTAGACCAACTAGACGAACTAGACGAACTAGACCAGCTAGACCAATTTGTCCATTAGACCAACTAGACGAACTAGATGAACTTGATGAACTTGACGAACTTGGCGAACTAGACCAACTAGACCAACTAGACCAACTAGACCAACTAGACCAACTAGACCAACTAGACGAACTAGATGAACTTGATGAACTTGATGAACTTGATGAACTTGACGAACTAGATTAGCTAGACTGACTAGACCAACTAGACCAACTAGACCAACTAGACCAACTAGACCAAATAGACCAACTAGACCAACTAGACCAACTAGACCAGTTAGACCAACTAGACGAACTAGATGAACTTGATGAACTTGATGAACTTGACGAACTAGATTCACTAGACCGACTAGACCAACTAGACCAACTAGACCAACTAGACCAACTAGACCAACTAGACCAGTTAGACCAACTAGACGAACTAGATGAACTTGATGAACTTGATGAACTTGACGAACTAGATTCACTAGACCGACTAGACCAACTAGACCAACTAGACCAACTAGACCAACTAGACCAACTAGACCAACTAGACCAACTAGACGAACTAGATGAACTTGATGAACTTGATGAACTTGATGAACTTGACGAACTAGATTAGCTAGACCAACTAGACCAACTAGACCAACTAGACCAACTAGACCAACTAGACCAACTAGATTGTAAGGGTACTCTCAAGCAACGTGAGTCAACGTCGACACACAATTCTTAGAATGGAAATTCGGAAGAAATAAAAAAAAATTTGTATCCCACTGTGAAACCATGGCTAATTCCAAATGTGCGTGTGTCGACCCATTTGCTTGAGAGATCACAGTTGCTAAAAGGGGTAATGATAGCGGATATCAACGATAAGTGAAAACCGATGCGAGTTTCCCCTAGATATGACCATCAATAATACTTCAAAAAGGGTTCTGATTTCTTTGCCGATGTATAACTGACAGTTACGGCTGTATCCAGCAGCATGATAGATGTAACTGTGAATATTGATAGAAAACTAAAACACCAGTTGCAAAAAAAGCGGCAGATAGTCTATTATTGCATGATGGAGATAGGTGAAGATTCTATCATGAAGGTGAAGAAGATACTATGATTTGCGTTCGCAATCCTCCTAACAGCTTGTGAAAATTGTCTGTAATTCTCCCGCAAGCGAGTCGGGTATATATAAAAGTAAGGTACGTTCAGCAGGAAGATGAGTAATAAACTTTTTTTTTTCAAAATGTCATCCCCAGAACAAACACCTCGTGAACTCTCAATTGTTATCGTTAATCCTGGTGGCGCAGGTCGTGGCAGTGGCTCTGGAAGTCGTGGCGGTCGTGGTCGTGGCAGTCGTAGCGGTCGTGGCAGTCGTGGCAGTCGTGGTGGTCATGGTAATAGTAGCGACAATCGAAGCAGCACTCCTGTCGTTCAAGCCAATAACCAGTCCAACAGCAACATGCAAAGCAACGAAAGCAGCAACGACACCACCGCAGCCCTATCTTCTGTCCCGACACAAAGCTCCCCTGAACATTGGATTGAGGCTGAAGAAAGGGCGTTGCTAACCGCAGTCTCTAAGCATTATGATGAGCTTACACATCCAAGAGACAACAATCATCGCGGCCGTACATGGGATGCAATCATTGAAGATTTCAAGAAAGAGTGTACACCTCTAGCATCACCAATTGTTACTGATGGCACTCAAGAAAGCGAACAGTCTTTGGACGAGCAGCAGCCAGCACCTTCGTCCCTTGTCGTCGAGCCGAGCAGTATTTCGAGCGACGATCAAGCAACGTCATCAGCAGCAGCCGCAACAGCAGCAACAGATGCATCGGCTTCAGACCTCACGAATGATAACAGTATTGTCGAAACTTTCGGTAATGTACGAACTAAGCGCGCCATCAAAACCAAGTGGGAAAGAATGTGCAGTCGTTACCATTCGTGCTTTACCGAACGCCATCGGCAGACTGGAGGGTCCGGTGACATAGACGACTGGTATTTATACGATGACATGCATGCATTGCTGAAGGATGACCCGAGGTTCAATCCTGAATTCCAGTTCGATTCTTTCCGAGGCATTCGTCGTCGCGCCGATACACAAACAGCAACCGACAGCACGCTGCAGCCATCCGCAAGACGTCGACGATTGACTCCTGCAGAATTGCGGCATGAAGATGTGCTTGCGCGGATCGATGCCGCCAACCAGCAGAGCGAGGAAGCAAGATCACAGCTGATCGAGCTACTCGCTCAGCAACATAAGGAAATCCTTGAAGCTCAAGAGAGGCGCCACCAGCAACAGCAACACACACAACAGAGCTTCTTAGATTTAATGAAGCAACTTATTGACAAGATGTAGAATCTTTTTTGTTTGATTTTTTATTTTTAATTCAATAAAGTTTTTTTTCCTTCGGGTTTTTTTATATAATCAAGTGCCTCAAAAGATAACTTGTTATGAAGACATAATTATTTTCTATCTGCGTCTATAATGGCGATTGTATTGACGGAAGCTCTCACGATCGCTACGCCGATTCTCGTGCAAGTACTGTACTAGTTCATTACGTTTCCGCACACCTTCATTTCGCACTTGCGTAGCGGTACGGCGCGCACCACGACCTCTGTCATTGATAGTGTCAGAAACTTCGAGTGACTCTAGAGGCAAATCATCGGCTATCGGATTAGGTACAAATGTGCTTTCGGCATGAAGATCGTCGTAATCAATGCATAAATTATGCAGAATACAGCAAGCAACAATCGTCATCGTCATTGATTCTACATCCAGCAAATACAGCTCGTTACGTAGAAAACGCCATCTGCACACCAATTGGCCAAATGCCCGTTCAATAA